ACATCTACTGGTTCCCCCTACATGGTAAAGTGGCTGGAGATATGTTATGTGGAAAACGAAACATGTGAAACATCAGCCTTCAGGCATTGTTTCAGAGTGAGTTATCTCAACTCATCCCCATTAATCTATTTTCCATTACCGCACTTTGCATTTTGTTCAGCATCATTATTTTAAAATGCACAATAATATTTTGCTTGGTGGAGTGGTGAAAACTGATACGTAATGCCCAGCGATGGAGGAGTCGCTGGGAATTCAGCCTGAGACCACAGGTTTCTTTGTTGCTGTGCAATGAAACTGGATTGAGAACAGCAGCATGGGCCAGGAATACAAGGCAAGGCAAGTCCACGCAAGATCAGAGAACAAGTTGGGAAAGAGGTGGGAGCAGCTGTGAAGGAAGTGAATAATAGACCAGCAGAAGTGGACGGGGCGGGGGGGCAGAGATATATCCACTAACTCACATAAACTGTCAACAAAGTCCAGACACCAATGACCACAAACCACTGATGGAAACCACATCTTGTGATAGACAACAGACACTAGGGAGTGGTGGCTTAATGAAAATTAACGCAGTGTCATCAGGCAAATGGTGTATATTTTCATGAACCTCTTTCACTGCTCATCGGGGTGGAGTATTCTGTTGCAGACGGTACCACAAGGCTTGAGGCTAAACTAGCCAGTTTACATGAATTTCCATAGAAACAGACCAAACATTAGTGCCAGAAGTAATGGACATGCTAACTACTGGCTGCAGGGTACAGTCCTGGAGGAGCGCTGCATTGTCAGAGGAGGCATTAAATCAAGAGCCTGTCTGCCTGTTCGGATGCAAATTAAAGATCCCATGGCACGATATGAAGAGAAGGGAGTTTCTCCGAGTGTTTTGGCCAATAATCCTCCAAATTAATTGATTATGCACATCCAAATCCCTAATTGTCCAGCTACACAAATGTAATTTGATGTTGTTTTTATCAAGGCTATATATGGATCATTGTCGATACATTGTCGATACAAATGGTTGCTGTTTTTGCCTAGAAATACTGTCATTTTCAGATTCTGATCTCCCAATCTCTGAAACTCCTTCCATCTAACCTCTGCTTCGCCCCAGATCTAACTTTCTTTAAATCCCATTTTAAAGCCATTGACCACGCCAAAGGTCACCTCTCCCTTCTCGCTTCCCCTCCCTGTTCAGTGTCCAACCCTGTCTTTGTACAGAGCTATGAAGCATTATCCTATTGTGAAGCCGAGCTTGACAGAAATGAGCTGTGAAGCCCTTTATGATATGGGAAGTGCTTTCAAATGCAAGCTCTTTCTTTATTAGGGGCAGATCACTTCTGTGGGACAGAAAGCAAAATGCTGTCAAAGTGAACAACACTTCCTCTCTGGTGTTCTCTCTTCCTGACGACTCTGGATCACGCTGGGGGTACATTTACAATCTGTAGGCAACAGATGCCCTCCTCTACCTTAACCAAGTGGCTGCTCTCCAGACAATAAAGACTCAGAACAGTACGGCCCTCAGTCAGTTTACAGAAAATAATAATAATCCTTGCATTTGATATAGCACCTTATCACGTCGTTGAGACATCTCAAAGCGCTTCACAGAATATACTGTAAAGTGAATTGACTGTATTTTGTGGGCGAAACGTGGCAGCCAATTTCACACAGCAGTGTTCCACAAACAGTTGTGGATTGAGTGAACACATTTTTGAAAAAGGTTTTGCCCTGCCCAGGAATCAAACCCATATCCTATCTCTTGCGAGATGAGTTCTCTAACCAATACGCCATGACAAAAAGTTAACAAAGGGTTTTTAAACTTTGAATCCCTCCATACTTGAGGGAAAGGGAATGGAGGGGTATGGGGAGAGGGATTTAGAAGGGTTGGCAGTTTATGTGGAGGCTTATGGAGTCCTGTAGCTCAGTGGTTAGAGCGCTCTCCTCACAAGCAAGAGACCTGGGTTCGATTCCTGGCAGAGTGAAACCTTGGGCAAGTTTCCTTACTCCACACGCCTGATAATAATCCCTCAAGAGAAAAACACATTAATAAACTGGTCACTTCAATCCACGACTGTTTGTAAGACATTTCTGTGCGCATTTAGCTGCTGTGTTTCATCTACAAATATAGAGTCAATTCACTTTACAATATATTCTGTGAAGAACTTTGAGACGTCTAGAAGACGTGAAAAGCACTATATCAAAAAAAATGCAAGGATATGGAGGTTTATAAATAATGGCATGAGGTAGTTGGTCTGAATTGCCTGTTTCATGGCGTAGAAGTCTATGTCTATGTAAACCCTTGAATTTTTTAAGCTTTTTGAATGGTGATTTTTGAATTTTGTGGAGTGCTTTTTTTAAAAAAAAAGTATCCTGAGCCTGTTTTTCTACTATTCTATAAAACATAGCAGGTCCAAACTTCAACCATTTCACCTCTTTAATCTAAGACTCCCATAAGGGAGATTAAGCTGAGTGTCAGTTTTATAACCGTGCACCATCAGCATCTGTACACTTCACGCTGCAAACTAACAACTTGTTCACGTTTTCCCAGCTGCTCCACACGGTAAATGGCAAAAGCATGTGCGAGCAAGCTGAAGACAGACTGTTAAAAGGCAACTAGGGATTTATCCCAGCTTCTGGGCTGAAAGCATTTCCAAAGATTCCTGACACACAGGTAAAATCTCATTATTGAGAAACATCTACAGGATCATGGGAGACAAGAGGGGAAGACAGGCAAACTGACTGATACCAGGGGAACTTTCCAGGCTTGGAAATGCACTGTCAGTGTGTCTGCACAACAGAGTGTGAATGAAAATAAGAGACACAGACAGAGATACAGAGGAGTTAGACACTGGACATGAGAATGAGAAATACTCAGGAGATAGAATAGGTACACAATGGTAAAAGATACAGGGAGCTGAGTAGATATGCTTGAATGAGGAACACAGAGTACTCGAGGGTGAGATATACATTATACTGTAGCAGGAACATGAGGGTGAGAGATAGACGAATATGGAAGTCTGGAACATTAAAGCCTCTCTTGGTGTCAAGCCCATCTATTGATGAGCAGTTAACTAAAGAAAACCATCCGTAACTGAATGAATCACTGTGCTGAGATTATGCTTCTGATTGGAACTCACTGCTGGCTTACTACTTGTAGAAGGTCAGTCATCAAAGGGAGGGGAAGTGGAAGCCAGGGAGGGGGGTGGGGGGTGGGGGAGATCACTTTACTCCCCAAAGACAATGTATTATCTGTTGGCAACATCCACCTGTTTTCTTGGTAGAATGAGGCTTACTGAGTTCAACATCTAAACCACCCCATCCATCTGCACGCACTCTTCAGTGACTATCAATACCAGCAGACGAGGCCACCCGCCCAGTGAGGGGACAGTCATCTAAGTGAGGGCTTTTAGTTTCCCTCTGATTGTTTGTTTATTCTTAGCTCTGGCATATCAAAGGGGGATACCATTAACAAACTCATCTATCACACTCGCCTAATCCAGGAATCTCCTCCCACTCTCCTTTGAAGACCTCACTCTCAGAGGCTCTACTGGCCTGACTTGCTAGACTCATCACAATATTTTGCATTCTGCCTGGGTATCTCTCCTTGCATTTCTTGTAACTAAATTGCTTGCACTCTTCAAACTGTAGTTTAGGAAGGCATGGGAACAGATCATGAAACACAGACAAATAGACTTAGCCTGCAAGAGAAGTTGAATGCCCAAAGCAGGAATCACTCTCCTCCCTAATGTTTCCTCCACAGATACACAAAACTCATAATTGGCACTTCATTTCATTGTGGCACCAAAGAATTGGGGTTTGTGTGCACAGTTCACTATGGTAGTAAGGAGCAGGGATTATACCCATTCGACTCCTGTTAGTCCTGCAAGCCAAAGCCTTAATGGGTAGGGTGTTCTTAGATGGCCAAGCAGCAGGAAGCTTGTTGTACAATGCTCGCAATGCCATGTTATGTGTTTTCAGCTGGTTAAACTGTAGCAGTAGCCCAACATACACTTTGGGGTCCCCAAGCCTCATGCTAACCTAATACTTTCCAGGATTAGGTAGGCAAAATGCATACCTCCAGAAAGAGGGTGTGCACTCCTTTCCAGATACAGGAACATTTCCATGTGTAGGTGACATGGATGGAACTCTCAGTCTGATAATAGATACTCATAAGCATGGTGATGAGTTTTTACACAGGTCCCAGACACTCGGCTGACAAAAAAAAGTGAGGAGAGCAAGACTGCTCATTTGAGTGTGCTGCCAATTCAGATCATTAGTGTAAAACTGGGAAAAATTGTATGTGAGATGTAATAATTATCATTGGCAATAAATATTACATCCTTGCTAAATATAGTCAAGATAATCAACAATTAAAAGTTGCTCCACATGCAAAATCCCTCCCCTTTTCTGTCTTCATGACAATGTTTGGGTCTGAAGTCTAATGTGACCGCTATTAGATTTTGAGCTTATTGACCTTATTCACATTTGAATGCTAGTTGTCTGCAAAATATAGTCACTATACCTTACAGTAAATCCTACAAATCGCTTTGGTACATCCTCCCGACTGGTACTATCTCAAGTGCCAAGATTATTATTATAATTCGTGGAATAACAATTTACCTCTGATTTTGGGGGATGAGTTAAATCAGTCAGCAAAATGCGGGGAGGTCATGAACAATGATATAACCGAATAACATCCAGGAATAGGAATTAAGTGCTCACATATTTGAAAACAATAGCAATTGTTGGATTCAGCTGTAAAACCTGTTATGTTCAGGAACAAACTGAAACAAACTTTCAATGGTGCGGTTTTTAATTGAGTTTACTAGATCCAAGATAATCTCTTTGGCACAAAAATGTGAATTCTCTTCCCAACCGATGCTTTCTATCTTGCTTTGAGTTCCTGAGATCGGCTCGATGGGGTAGAGGGCATCTCCCAGGGAATTACAAAGTAAGCGCACCAAATGTAGCATGCACACTACACGACACGATTAAGGAAGCTGTGGGCTTACATTTCAGTGATCGTCTCCGGGAGGTTGATGGGTATCTCGGTGAGCCCTTTGCCACGACAATCCACAATACTGTTGCTGCACGTGCAGACGGCAGGACAAGACTTCGAATGGACGCTGCACGACTGTGTGAGAGAGCTCTGGTGGCCTGCAGCAGGGAAAACACATTTCAAGCTATATCCTTGATCATGAGATTCCCAGGGATCTGGTTCCCTTCCTTTTACATTGGATACTGCATAACGTTCGCACAACTCTTTTCTAAGCAAACTACCTTTCACATGAATTGCATCAATTCACAACCATAAATATACATCGAGTGCTGAGTCACAGTGAACAGACAAATGCAGTAACATTTAGATAAGATTTGGGTTCTGTTTTTCTCTTGTCAGTTTTCTCACCTCCTCCTCCTTTCCTTTTTCTTTCTACTGGAATATGATTCACAGGTACAAGGGGCCCCATTAGACTTTGTCCTTGTTGAACATGAGTACTTTGATAACGCATGTCCACTGTTGACCCGGGGTACTTATGGGGCTTCTCTTGTTAAAATATAACCCGTCTGGATTAATAGGTTGCCACTTCTTGCACACACTTACACTATGTGCAGAAAGCACTTTGCGAAGGAGGTGATATCTTATGCATAGCGCACGGGCTGGAAGTGGTGTCAATGGTGAGCTCATGACCATCGGTCATTTTTCAGCACTCCATTTCACTGCTAATAGATCCATACCAATACCTTATAACAGAGCTGCCCCCAACTTTATCTGAGTTGCCATTGTTCACATGTGTGCCTTTGAAAGTTATTTGAACATGGGGGAGGAGAGAATCACAGCTATGTCTTATCTGGTCCAAACCCTACACATCTGCACTTCCAACAATGATCCCTGAATACACCCTGAATGATTTTTCCTGCGATGCTGAAGTCAAGTGAAGCACCTTCGATTTGGCCCTAGCAGAGATAAACTAACTCAGTACAGTCCAGGAATTAAATCTGTGCCTCCATGGTCGGTATGACTCAGTTGTAATTGCCGAACCAGAGGTGGTAGCTGTATTTAAGAAGAAAAGACGACTTCTATTCAAATTGAAATTGTGTGGAAGAGGAAGGAAATTACTTTAACCCTAGCGTTTAACACTTAGCTGCAAAAGCCTCACGGGACATACTTGGGAACTTTAAACCTATTGTTTACACAAATTAGTTCAAGTACCAACACGGTTACATTTCCTGTGAGCAACATGGGTCATATAGAACAAAACATTAGAATCAGCACCTAGATCATCCGACTAAACAGATGATACTGTATCACACACATAAACCCAGTGGGTTGAATTGACAAAGGGGATTGAATACTTTCTCCTGAACACTACTTCATTCTAATTAAAAATTCACTCAGGTTAAATGGATGCAGCACTTTTTCTGTGTATGTTTCATCCACATGACTAGTAACCATAACAGCATGGCTTCCCAGTCTGTCGAGGACAAAAGCTTGCTGTCAAGTTCAGAAAATGGTATTCTGAGAGAAATAGAACCTAGCTATAAAAATAGCGTGTGCGCATCCTAGTACAACTGGTGTTTGAGAAGCTGTGGTAATGCCATGACAAGAGTGCTTCTGTATTACTGACATGACTGTTCTCTCCCTGCAGTATGACTATGTGAGGAGAGTGGATCTAAATTATGGGGTGCATAACAATATAAAACATGATAAACGGCCAAAATATGAAATTTCTCTATAACTCACCTCAAAAATAACTACTGTACATGGAACCTATCCGGAGGATGGTTTAATGAGTAGAAACGCTAAAAGGTAAGTACTGAAACAATACAGACCATAAAGTCACAGGTTCTAATCCCATCTAATCTAAATTTTTTGATCACAGATAGGAAAGTATTTGAGGGTGCTACAAATGACTTCAACATTCTTGAGTTAGGGAGAGAAAAATTCGACAGTCATTCTACGCCCGATCCAGAAACGCTACTTGTATGTATGTGAATGTCAGGTGAAAGCAGGACCAGGTTTTGCTGTGATATCTCTGTCTTACTAACACTCATTGTCAAGGTTCACACATGAATAATGGAAATTTCGGCAAGATATTGTAGGGCAGCTATGAAACCACAACCCAGGAGAAGGAAAACAGAAGCTAAAACACTTTCAGAAGAGGAGGGGAGAAAAATTGATGCAAATAGAAAATGTAATTTAAAAAAACACAAGCGAATTGCAATCACACTATAAAGTTCAGCTAACTTATCTTTAAAATTGGTCCTAGATCATTTTCAGCTGTCCACAGAAATGCAAGTGGTCAATAACAGTTTGTATAAATGTGAAGATAATTTGCAACCTTTCAAATATTGAGAAGCACAATGGGCAAGTCTCAGTGAATCAGAAGAATATCAAATCTTTCAGTTCACATGCTGAACTGTAAAGCTTTATTGTTGTGCCCGGGACATCCAACATCGGGCTGAAATTTCGATTGGTGCTACATGTAGCACCTTTGTTGATGCACAACTGAAATGTGGAAATCCGATCCAAATCCTAAATCGTCAAGCACACATTGGCTACTGCATTCTCTAACAAATGCACCGCCAATGTCGATCCTAGAACGTGCTTTGAGATATTTCAATGAAATGATAAGACACCAGATCAAATTGAGGGAAATTTTGTACTTTATATTTGTACAATTATAATGCTGCGATATAAAACATCAACCAGAATTTCAGCCCTTATGATTCTTCAGTTAAAATACTTGCTCTAATTCACTGAGATGTACCCGTTATCCACTACTGGGCAGAAGCCCCATGCCTTATACTAGTGATGGATGAGGGTGTTAAATAGCGACAAGGAAAGTGAATGTAATTGTTCAAAGCCAGTTTGTACAAACAGGAGTGTCAATGTGAACCAGGTGTATTCTAAAATGCTTTATAATATCTGGACAGAACGCTGCACATTCCTGCAGAGCAAAGAGTGACCCCGACAGCACATCTTACTCAAAGTACAGAATACGAGACAGAAATAAAACTTGCCTTCATCCTCATCTGGAAAGCAGGAGAGAGAAAAGAAAACACAATGAGATTAGTACCATGCAGGTACCTTCCGCAGACTGCAGGCAAAGGCGGGTAGTTAACTTTCCAAGCAATCAGTTATAGGCTTCCTTAGACAGTAAGAAAAGCAGTACAAAAGTAAAGCAATATAAGAACAAAGAATCGCCTTATACTTACCAAAACCTAAAGGGAAAAGATGTCTAAGAGCAATTTGCTAGCCAACCGCAGTAATGAAAAGCAAGCACACCGGGACTACCAACAAGTAGGTCATGGAGTAAACTTTCACTATCCGATGCCTGAATAAACATACACTTTGGCAAGATCAAGTCACAATCTCAGAAAAAGCACATTCTATGCATCCCGTGAAGAGCCACCTTATCAGGGGAATTGGAAATCTAAAGTGTTACATTTTGATTTTTTAGCAAGATTAAAATAAAAAAACAGAACATCTCGGTTTACGGAGGTGGTTCATTCTCCAGAGATGTGATAGAATCAGAGATATGGGTCCACTTCGAAGAACAAAGAAACAGCAAGCTTAGCACCAACACACGATCGTAGTTACAGAGGTAACACTGTGACATTCGGTCCAATATCTTTGGGATCACCAAGAGAAGTGACAGTGAACAAACCATAGCAACTATTAAAACATCCATCTCCCAGTTTTATGGAGATCAAAATTGGAGGGAGAAAGCTCAGACAGTCACGAAAGATGTTAATTCAGAAATGTTCTAAGACAATCTGTATCATACAGCAACATAGTAAAGAATAAGCATTAATAAAAAAAATGTAGAATAGTGTGATCATACTTAAATGAGTGCTGTATATTTACACATTTCAAATCTACAATGAAAAATTCAACTAAGGATAAACACTGATGTCCAGTTAACGCAAACCCCAATCCGCTGATTCTTTCTATAAATGCTGCTGTGTGCCTCTGCCTCATACCTGTCCCATACAGACTTAAATGAAAATATTATAAGAATGGCTTTTTAGTTTTAACGAGATGCGTGCCTCTGGCAAATCATTTCTCTTAGTCTTAACATAGTTCTTTCTCCCGCTTACCAGAGCAAATGAACTCCCTCTTTTGCACCTCGGCAACGTTATGACCTCTCAGGTGTCCCGGTCCGATGCATTGCGTGTACAGCCCAACTCGCGGACGCTGCCGCAGCCAATCGGAGAGCCAGGCCAAGTGGCAATCGCAGTACAGGTTATTTGAATGGAGCCGACTGAAGAAGAAGAAGGAAGAAAGTCAATACATTGAAATGAGCAAAGGAGAGCGAGCAGCACAATTTCAGAGACCTGAGGTTAGTGTAATAAGGAGAACAAATGAGGAATCAATCCTTTAATCTCATCTGTAAATTTAAAGCTCCTTGACAAGACCATTTCCAATAGTTGCGAGTTTTTTTTTAGCAACACTCTTCTGACAGCAGCCTTTTAGCTGGAGATTAATTAATTAATAAAAGTTGGCTCAGCCGTCACAAAATCAATTCAGAGCGTTTCCCCTTGACTGTATTACAGGCTCAGCAAACATGTGAGAGCCAAAAAACCAATTATGGAATTCGGAAGCTTAAGTCTAACAAAAGACAAGAAAAGTAAATTGCATCTCAGTGGTAACATACTGTCAGCAAGAAAAAAATAATGCTAATAGAAGCTTTGGCTCCCAATTAAAAATACCAATAAGTTCTGTCATGATTAGCCTCTATAGAAACTGCCTCCAAAATCCTTTTAGCAAATGACATTTCTTTTCTGCTAAACAAGATAGAATGATAATTCAATATAAAATGCTCCTTTCATATCCTTTTCTGAGTTCCTCCTTTTTTTGTTTAATCACAGAGAAAGGATTACCAGATTCCTTTCCCTCGAGACTCGTGCTCAGTGCAATCTGTGGAATTAAAAGACGCAAATGGCAGTGAGCAGGGGAATTAAGTCAGTTGCTTCACTAGGCAGGACCTTCATAGGAATATGGCTCCCTTCCAACAAGCAAAAAGCACCTCGCCATCAATAAACTATCAGATAAATGTATCCCTTAAATTAGGTAAATTACTTCAGACTGGCTTTCCTGTTCCTCAAAGTAAAATAAAGGACGCCAAGAACCATAAATCAAGTTGCCTGCTCGCAATGCTTCTTTGACTATGTAATGTAATTTCATCAGATCCTTTTAGTCAATGCATTCAATCCTAACAAAATACACCCTAATGGGTATTGAAGCATTGGCCGCAGTCTAGCATGCTAATTTTCCACTATGGAGAGATGATTGGATAGACGGTTACTTTTAATTAAGTATTGTACATTGCAATACAGGCATCCCAGCGCAACTGAGTTCAAACATACATCAGTGCAGTGCATTAATACTTTGCATTTTGCATCAAGGTAGCACAAAGAATGAACATCCTAGATAAAATATATTTTTGTTGTGTTTTGTACCAACCATTCTATTGATTCTGACCACTCAATTTATATCTTTAGGATAATCTCTAGGAAGCAGCTACAATGAGATTTAAACCCAAGGAAAGATTGTACATGCTGATACAGTCTCTAATTGTGATGTTATTTGTTTCTAGTTTGAAGCATATTATTTTATCCTCTATGGTTCAGCTCATAAAAGTAAAAATATGTTGAAATGGCTTTTTTTTACTTACAAGGTTCTGAGCCTGGGCATATGGTTGAAACTCGCCACTGAAAGCCGGGAGATGTTGTTATTGTTAAGGGTGCTGTAAAACAAGAGATGCTCAAATTTCACAAGGTTATCAAAGTCTACCTGATTCTGGGGTTAATCTGGAGGTTTCTTTGCTGATAATAAAGCTGCAAACCCATGACTGGTGATGGAGGGGAAGAAATGTATTCTCTTTTTGTGAGCGGTTCAAAGAACTGTGATTGAACTGCTTTAAATATTCTTGTTCTGTACGACTGAGTATTTGATATAAGATCATTATTCATGACTGTATGCTTTATAACAGAATGGAAATGTGGGCTTTCAAAAGGCGGACATGGTCAGCCTTCTGACACCAGCAGCAACTGTGCCCTATCTCACTTTGAAATGCTGATAGCACTTGCTTGCCTTTACTGAGCGCCTGCTTGCTCTGTTTAACAACGCAATTACAGTGCATGGCAACATTTAGATGCAAATCATAAAGGCAAAAGGCTTGGACAACTTTGTTTTCAGTGTTTCCAGTTACATAAAAACAGGCTGTCTGTTACCAAGAAAACTACTACAAAATCAGTGACATTTTATCCAAATATTGTTTTCAAATGAAGTTCATTACACATGCCCTTGTGTGAAATGTGGTTACCATTAAAGATAGCAGCCTTTAAAGAGATTTCTGACCTTGGTTTATTCATTGCCTGGTAAGGATGACAGTTTAGCTCCTGTGGTTTCTGAATAAGGCAAACTCCATATCGTCAGATGCTTGTACCAAATGAAGTTGCATAGGAAAAAATCTAAAATTTAGGTCAGTAAAATAACCGTGTCTTCAAGCAACTTCATTTTGAGTCACTTGGGAAGATGGACCAGCTAAAAATAATAGGGTCAGGCAGCAGAATTTTGCTTTCAAAACAAATTCAACCTACCTCTGGTGGCCCGGTCACTCCCTGCCCACCATGTCGACAGCTGCTCTCTCTCTCTCTGACATTCTTGCAAAAAGCTTACAGACATTTTCGGAGAGGAATCTTACTGAACACTGACAGTTATCACAACACCATTGGTACAGTGATGTCTGAGCTCCACAAGATTCCTTCTCTCTAAACGGTCACTATAATTTACAGCCGTTCAGTTGGATTACACCGAGGGACCGTGCTCCTCAAGGACATTGCACAGCGCTTCTATTTTATAGCCATTTTATGAACTAGAGGTTTGGAAACTGAATGTAATTTTCTTTGACCTTTTATCCTGTGAAGCTCAAGCAGACCTATAGTTGCCTGGTGAGATATCTTAACCATAATGTTAAAAGACAGCAAGCCAAGGACTTAAATCAATGCTTTGTTTTTATAAATAAGAGAATTTGGTATGGACTGCACTAGATTTAGCCGAGTGAGCAAAAGTGACCCAGACATCCCCACTGAATCTAGAGCTGCAAAGAAAAGCACCACAACCCTCCCCCCAAAGAACAGAAGAAGCAGACATTTTAACTGCATGCAGTAAATCAGGTGCTTGGAAACCCTTTATCTGAGTAGCTTAACGTGAGTTAATATGTGCCATTTCCCGCAAGGCTCCTTCTTTTACGTCAAGAGTTTAGAATTAATTGACTTGATCTTTGACAGCTACTGAAACCAAAAGGTTTAACCTTTCACAAATAAATGGAGCCAAGGAGCTACTCTCTGCAAAACTTCCATCCTTTTAATTGAAGAGTGGGATAGCCTTTGTTTAAAATATCTGGGTGATTAAAATACTTGCAAAAAGAGGAACTTACTCTTAGCTTCCTCACATACCTACAAATACCCAAAGAATGTAAACCACTGAGTCACAAGGCCAAAGATGCCAGGAATGTGTAATGTGCTCTAGATTTTCCCAGCTTTGGCTTTTCTCTTCATCACAGATTCTATTGAACTGACAACTCCCTATAGTTTCCATTGGCAGCTGTTAAGTACTGTTCATAAACTCCCTTCAGTTTTGTGCAGTGACTCTAACTAATGCTTTTTTCTGTACATGCTCATGAGCTTTAGTCTAGGACTGACGTTAACCTTTTCATCACGAGTACAGTTGACCCATAGTAGACGACTGTGGGCAACTCACGTTTTGTCTTACTTTCGAATCTGAAACAAATGTCACTGCACGTGACAGCAATAAAAGTGAACCATTTCGAGTCGTTATTGATACAATGAGGTGGCTTACAAATGAAAATTCTTTTTCCTTGACCTGACATCTCTGTCAGGTACCACGTCTGCCTCTTTGCCTTCAATAATACCTTCCCGAGTACATGCCTACTCTCCCCTGCGTGGGCAGTTAAACGAGAAATGTAGAGGAGGCGTCTCTTTAGTCTCTGGGACTTTTGCAGAGCTTGAAATGTGGAGTGAGAATCGTTCTTGAATATATCATAAATCTTTTACAGCTATTAGCCTAACACAAAAGCACTGCAACCTTTACATAAACTAACATGTCTGTTATCCCTGACTGAAGGGCTGCCTTTCACAGCCAGATTGAAGCAGTACTCACAGCACTTCCAGGTCTCGCAGAGCTCGGAACGCTCCATCCTCAATGCAGCTGATTAGGTTGTAATCCAGTTGCCTGTTAAACAGATTAGCAGGATAAACGTAAAGAAGCAGAACATTAGCAGTGTTAGGTACCCTAAAGCTTCCATCTATGCTGACTCTGTAACCAGGCCTGCGACTGTGGAAGTGCTCTTACAGGTGCTCTCCCTCTCTTTCTCTCTCTCTCTGTTACACATCGACAGATACACAAGCACATGCTCTCCCGCTCTAAAATATCTCTGGCATTAGAATTGTTTTTAAGTCTGCACCGAACACCTGAAAACGTTTGTCCTTCCCGAGAGCTTTGCAGCAAGAGAAGCGCAGGAAAGCTCCAGTAAATAATAACCGCTCCTTATATTAAATGCCAACGGAATGCAATTTCATTACATCAAGAAAAGCTATCCATTAAAAGCTTTCAGCATCATCTCACTGAAACAATTTCATTAAGGAAAAGGACTGTAAATCACTTAATGTCACAGTGTTCCCCTCGGTGACCTAACAGAATCCATTTATCAGAGGAGCACAGCTGCATGTTAATTCCACCATCCTTGGCGAGACCAGGAGAATTCTCTCATTCAAACGCAGCCCTGGATATCAGTCTCTGGTAACCACTATCAAACAAGTAAAAGCACAGAGGACAACCAAATTTCACTTTGCCAAGCACTCAAATTTATCATCAGATACAAAATGGAACACAAAAAAGAAACCCTTTCGGAAACCTTTTAACTGATCATTTCTCCTTGCTAAATATAAATTCTGCTTGACACCAACTTTTAAATGGAAGTGATTTTGAAGCATCAGTCTCTGATTTTCTGTATCAGAAGTGTTTGGATACCCGGAGGGCTGAGAGCAGAATACTGAGGAAAGCAACAGCTTCTGTGCACAGCATCCAGGGACAAAGCAAGTTTGGTTTGTTTCATTTTACTCAAACCACTATGGATGCTGGAGAGTGGTTACCAGTGAATTAGAGACACTCTCCAATGGATTTTGAGCATTCCAGAACATTTTGCACTGAAGCTTTATTTGACAAAAAAATTCTGCAATTTTTAAGCAGGAGCATGGTCCTGCCCATAATTAAAAAATACCCTCCAGTCCTGAAAGGGTTTAACCTTCAGTGATTTTCTATTGAATCCAAGTGACTGGAATGAAGGAAGGGAAGGTCACAGGGCTTAGAACCTGGTGCTAACATCTGGTCATTGATGCATTGGTTTGCTGAAACCATGTCCTATTGGATGGTCTCCTAATGTAACATTCTTTCCTGGACATTAAAATTACAATACAATACAAAATTACATTTGTGAAGCGTCTTTCACGTCGGGAGGACGTCTCAAGGCGCTGAACAGTCAGGGATGGGATTAGAACCCAAGAGGCAGGAGGGGCCAGGCCATGGAGGCCTTCAGGGTAATGACGAGGATTTGTCCTCGTCTACAGTTTGTGGAGGGAAGAATTGGGAAGCCCTACAAGCTGGACGTTGGCATAGTCGAGCCTAGGTGTAATGAAGGCATTTATGAGAGTTTCAGCGGCCTGAGGGGTGAGGCAGTGGGGGAGTCAGGCAATGTTGTGAAGGTGGGGAAAGGCAGAGCTAGTCATGGCACGGATGTGGGGGAGAAAGGGCAGTTGAGGGTCGAACAATCGCCTAGGTTCCTGACTGGCTTGGTGAGGTGGGGTTTGCAACTGTGGATGCTGATGCTGGCAGTGCCTGAGGTGCAGAGGCACTTGCGCAAGCCAATCAGGAGACGTTCTACTGTAGAGAGTTGGCTCTCATCCAAGAGTTGATGTCTGACAGGACAGCAGTGGTCCTGGAGTCGAGGGTGGAGGAAGGGAGATCGAGTTGGGTGTCAGACGCATACATATGGAAGTTGACCCCATGTCTGCGAATGAAGCTGGGAAGCAACAACTCTTTCAAGGACCTTGGAAAGGAAAGGGAGGTCGGAGATGGGGTAGTAGTTTGTAAGCAGGGATGGGTCCAGTGAAGATTCTTTTATGATGGGGTGATGACAGCTGTTTTTAGGGGGGTGGGAATGGTGCCAGTTGACAGGGAGAAGTTTACAAGGTCTGAGAGTAAACGGGCGAAGAGGTGGAGCTGGGAGGTAAGGAGAGAGGTAGGGATGGGGTCGAGGGAGCAGGTGGTGGGCTTCATGCGGGTTATAGTGGTGGTGAGAGAGGAGTGGGAGACAGGTTCATAGGTGTGGAGGGAGGGATGGGTAAGGCCTTGAGTGTGAGGGAGAGATGGAGAGGGGTTGGCAGTTGGGAGGGCTGAGGCAGCTAAACAGATCCCCTCGATTTTGGTCTCGAGGAAGTCCAGCATCTCCGCATAGTTGGAATTGGAGGAGAGGATGGGCGTGGCATGAGAGAGTGGACGGAGGAGCCGGTTGGTAATTGAGAAGTAGAGCCTGTGGTTGTCCTTGGCCTCTTAGATTATCTTGGAATAGAAGGCTGATTTAGTGGAGGCAAAGGAGGAGCGGTAAGTTTTTATGTGATGCAGCCAGATCTGCCGGTGGACTATTAAATCAGATTTAAGCCAGGTGGGTTCAGCGGAATGCACCAGACCATGAGTGAGCGGAGGTGACTGGTGTATCACGGTGAGTTGCATGAGGAGGTGGTGGTTCAGGAAGTGAGGGGGGCAAGGGCATTGAGAATGGTGGAGAGGGAGATTTGGAGGAGAGTGACCGAGGAGGATAAGTCGGTGCGGGAGGTAGGCCAGAGGGAGAGGAGTTCAGACAACTCCAGGGCAGCAGAGAGGGAGTGTGGGGAGATTATTTTCCAGGGCTGGTAGAACATGGAGATGAGTTGGGTGGCGGTGGGAAGAGGGATTGAGGAGATGAAATGATGATCTGAGATGGCTTTATCAGTGATGGTGATGTCGGGACTCCCTCAGCCTTCCTTCTCCTCCTAGCTACAAACTATTAAACCCAAGTTTGCCATTATCTAACCATTTCGTAATTATCTTGCTTTATCTCCTACGTATTCTTTCCTTGGTGGTGTCCTGCCTTGGAGGACCTTGGCCCTTCCCCTAGATCTCTCAACTAAGAAGAGGCTTATGAGCAAGCCTTGATAGTGCTAGTAGGCATCACAGCCGAGCCTGGTGTATTGTCACCAAACACCCAGATGTGTGAACCATCAAGCAGGAGTCAATGGATAGAAAACAGGAATGCTGACTGATTTTTTTCATCCCTCAGCCAGAGGTGTTGAGGTTATGTGTAGCTGCTTACTGCTACTCCAGCTCAGATCAGCTAACCCAGCACAGACTGCAGATTCAACCTGGTATTTTCCCAGTTTGCCCAGCTCAGCTACCACAGTGGATATTGCATTTACCCATGAAGGAAAATAGTGATTATGTCGATATTCATGCAAAAGCTCTTTTATGGAAAATGAGTCAACATCTTCTAAAAGAATTTTACTCCAAAAATCGTGTCTAATGACATCATTTGACATTTCAAATTGGCTGCATTTGCTTACAATATTTTGATGTTTGATGACAATGTGGCATTCATATAGCAAATTATAGATAGTAGCAGAACTTCACTGCATTACTGTACTGAGAACACAAATTACGTCCACATATTACAAGGAGCTGAATTGAGCTGTCTTCGGCTAATCTCACCTTTGCTTAAAGATTGATTCACAAGAAGATGATGCAGTAAACTACTGAAATTCACAACAAAATCCAAATTTAGCAATTTTACATCAATAGATCTCAATTAGATGCTAAATTGAGGTCCCACCTGCCTAATCTGGTGGACATTAAAGATCTTGTGGTACTATTCAAATTTAGAAGGGAGTTTCTCACAATGTCCAATAATAACAATCCTTTAATTTGATATACCCCCTCTCATGTTGGGAGAACATCTCAAAGCACTTCACAGAATTTACTGTAAAGTGAAGTGATTGCGTATCTTGTGGGTGACAGCGGCAGCCAATTTGCGCACAGCAATATACTACAAACAGCCATAAAGTGAATGAGCAATTTTATTTGGGAATTGTTGGCCAGGACACCAGGAGAAACAATGAAAGGGCTTTAGTAACAAAAAGGCTTGTGGTTAATGACTACGATACAGGGAGCTCAGCTTTGGCATAGTCCAGTGAAACCAATTCACTGGGGTTTACACTACAGCACACAGTGAGATAGCTTCACATTAGTTCAATCATTTCCCTTCTGAAGCTCAGAAGTGAAAAGCTCCCGGTACCAGTATAAAAAGGGGCTAAGCATCTAAAATGAAATTGATTTGCTATTTAAGTTGGGGGGGATGGTGGTGGGAGGGAGAGGGGTGGGAGAGGAGAGGGACAGCTAAAATAAGCTGAGCTGATCAATTGGATGTGACTTTTACCCTCAAAGCCCACCGGGGCAGCCTCTCATTTCCATGCAGCTGCCTCCAGCTTGGTGGACAAAGTGGTCCAGGTCACAGGGGCTGCATGATCAATGTCAGCCTCACTGCAGAGCAAACTGACTCGAGAGCAAACGTACTAAAGTTCCCAGTTACTAAGCTCCCTTTGAGTCTGCAAAGATATTTACAGAAGTTTCTCTCAAACTCCGATGGAAGATTTGTTTTTCTGTGGACGGATATAATTTAACCAGAAACCATGGAAACGATATGCAGGACTGTGAAGATTCACTTCGATTTCATTATTAAGCCTTCAAATCGAGTCACTCCCCGATAAGTGTGCTGCTGTGCTGTTTAGTGACTTGCTGATATGGAAATTGCCATTCGGTTCAGAAAGTAATATCGGAAGCTTCCAGATGCTGCTATTTACACAGATTCAAACTAAGTACCTTCACTGCCTCACACTCGCTGCCTGGCTCTTCTTTCATTCTATTTCTACTATCTGCACAGAATCAAAGTAGGAAGAAGAAATGCCAAGCAAAGGCATTGTTCCATGATCCACTCAACTCCTGATTCAGCGCAGGTATGGGCTCAATAACCATGAGATTAAGGAAGGATAAGGAGAGAGGTCTTAAATCCCGCACTGCCAGGAGTTAGCTAGGACCTGCTATACAAAGATCACACAAGACTTGAACCTGCTTAGTTTCAGTTTTATTGGACACCAGAGACTCAGAATTCCACCTGTTTGACCATTTTGTCTTAAAATCTAAGTGTAGAATCAAAGTGCAGAATTGAAGTCTTCATCTTCTTAAGACCCTGTTTTTAACAATTCTTAAAATAAGTTTTCCGAGTTAAGATAAGGTTTTTAAGAAATTTACATAATTTTTGCACAATCTAAAATTTTGAGATAAATTAGCCTTAAAAAGGTTACGATTAGGTGCAATTTCAAACCTCAGCAGGGGTCACCATGCATGTAACAGATGGAAACAGCTGATCCTGTCTCAATACCTGGTCCGTGAAACTGTAAATCTGCTGCTCAGACTATGCGCCCACAATACTGACATCTTTCAGAAAATAGGCCTATCAATTATTGCTCACTAACTTCTTCCTGACAAGATCGTCTCCTCCAATCATCCCTGTTAACCTGGTTCTGTGCACCCATCTTCATGCACTTAATTTGTCTATCCCACCTCCAGTCTCCTGGATTAACTTCTTTCTCTGTAAGACTGCATTGACTTCCTGACAAGTACCCTTCCAGATGTTATCGTCAAAGTCATGATGGAACAGGGGTGTCCCAAAACACCCAGTACCACTAGGACTAGCTGGCAGACCAGAAATTAAACACATTTTAGTCCCTGATTTACTTATCAACATTCAACATAATTCTCCTGGATTTCTGTAAAGCAGCTGAAAAAAGCAGTCCACCACTATTCTGTCACTTACATACCTTCAAGTCTTTCAGCAAGGGCGATAAAGACAGCTCCTGAGTAGCATCTGGTAATGTTTCTGGGAAACAAATTGGCTAAAAACTGTCGAATGTTGGTGCGTAAGGCCGTTTGCCAGTTATTTTGCTGACTAATGGAAGGGGAGGGCGGGCCCCTTTGATGTAACTTTCCACTTACGAACGCACAAAGTGAATTGCCATCAGTTTTCAGACGATTACAACCAAATGGCTGTTCTCCACTGCCAGCACTATTGGGCTGGGCTTGTTGTTTCAAATAACCTTGAAGCACTTCCTCAGCAGTACTAGCCAACAACAAGGGTTATGTTGATTCAGATTCTCCCACTCTCTGCTGAAGATATTCTTTAGTGCTGCATGCTTGTAGTTTGTCTCAGAGGCTTGTAGCCACAGTTTCTAATTTCATTATACTTAATTTTTTAACAAGGCTATTTTATTAATAATTTAGTTAATAGCTTTTATATATTTGATGTCATAAGATTTATCTATAACATTATTCTTTAACCTCACGCTCAATTTATCAAAGTAATTTAAATTACGACAACGGCACAAACTGTACTCCTGACACAACATAAAAGAGAAATTGTTACTTGACAAATTGGAAAATCTCGTAATACCATCAAATTTGCCTAATGCGGTCTGCAGGTTAATTTGGAAAAGGGTGAATTGCATGTTGGTCTATATCTCATTTTCCTGAGCTGTCAATGTATAAATCAGTGCTGACACAGCTCTGGCTATGCTCTTAAATCATCTCCACTACGTAGGTGCTATGGTGGAGGGTGAAGCTATTGGGAAAATGTTTAGATTTAAAAACAAAAATATAATTCTCTTAATGTTTTTCTCCCCCGTCCCTAATTTTTTTTTAAAAAGCTTGCCTTCCTTTTTGGATCATTTCTACCTTAACTTTATCGCATTGAATTTATTTTATTCTGCTGCTCTCACTCCCTTGACGTGTGAGTGATGAAGAATACAGAATGCCCACCCGTGAATGAAAATGATTTATGGGAAACGATGGGAAAGTGGAGACAGAGTGATGCTGGTATCACTGCCTGAAAGGTGAGGGTGAGGAAATCTTTTGACATTTGCTGTGCCTTCTTTTAAATCGGCACTGTTCTCAACGTAGGTCATGTTTAAACTCATGACCCATTGTGACTCTGTGCTGAATTGCTCAATTTTTAACCGGGAACAGCAGCCCTCATTTCCCACCCTACATTTGAACGCCCCCCGACAGTAAGAATGGAAGGAGGTGGTGTGAAAACGTAAATGTTCACGACCGGAAGGTCAAATGGGAAGATAAAGATTTCCAAATAGCTAGCTCGCTGTAGTCAAGCTGTTGGTTTAACAATTGGACCATCCATTTAAAAAAAACTCCGTCTGCTGAATTATACAGAACAGATGGTGTGTGACATGTGGGAGGTCAAGACCAGGTGTTGACAGTGCAACAGTTTAAAGCCTGAAAACTTTAAACATGGATAGACTGGTGCTGAAAATCAGGGATCTTTGTTCAGTCAAAAGGAAAAATAAATTCTGTGACAAAAATGCCACACATCCTAAACTCCCTCATTGTTCCGAGACAGCAATAGAATGCTATTGGAAAAATCTTCAGTGAAGTTATGGGACGAGGCTATTGACAGGGAAGATATTTTTCAATCTCATTCAATGAGCCTAGGAGAAAAGGATGAATGTGAAACTAGAATGCCTCAAGCTACAAAAGCTTTAACATGGAAGAGCCATTACAGTTTTCCACAGCAGGAATTCAATACTGTACTACTCTAACAAAATATCAGAAAGGCTTAAAGTATTCATCTGTTCTGTTTTAGCTAACACCAGTTCTTTCAATAATGTGCTCTCCAGGTATCACAGAAAGTTAGATCATGGACTGAAATCCAAAACTAGGCACAATGGATATATAAACTAATAATGAAACACAGTAAAAACAGCAACTAGAAAATGTCACCACATTATGAACACAGTCCAAGCCGTAGGCTTCAAGAAAATTATCTGGAGAAAAGGGAGCAGAAAACAGAACAAATACATACGGTACTACTGACACTATCTTTCTTGCAAAAGAATTAACAGTACTAAGGAATTGGCCACACTGCATTTCCCAGATTATCTTTTCCCACAAAAATATTGTTGCCCCCAAAATGCATAGTCACTCCACTCTACAGTATATGCTGTGAAGAGCTTTGAGAAATCCTCCTGGCGTGAAATGGCAAATGTAGAGATTATTTATTATATGGAGACATTTTGGTCAAATTTTCCCATCCCCCATTTTGCATCACATCTCAAAGGTTGTTTTGCTACTACATAGGAAATATTACATCGACTTGTAAATGGCGGCGGGGGGAGAGGCGGGTGGGCAGAATAATATACTCTCTGGAGGCCTGAAGCCTTGACTTTTCCCAACCTGTGCCTAAATAACAACTCTGGGAAAAGGCAACTGCACGTAATGGAACTGTATTGTACTTTGGTGACGGTAGGTTAGCCCAGCCTGAGTAGATCCCACACTGCAGATCCCAGATCCTAATTCACTTCGCTCCTTTTATACCACATTGGAAGGACTCTGAACACTCCATTGGTAACCTTGGCATTTGCTGAATAGTAAATATCTCACATGTAGAATTCTTAATCATTCCATTTGAAGTCTCTTAAGCATGGTGATGGGTTTCCACTGATGTCAGACTCTTGGCTGACCAAACAAAATGCAGATGCATTGGAAAAGAAGTGCTAATCAGCAACAAGCTTATTTACACAAGCAAACTTAGCAACTGACTATGCACACAACAGACATTAAGCCCAGATATAAAATGGGGCTATGTGTTAATGCCATTTCTGCACGCTATCACATACATATGCAGTATGGGGCCATAAAAGGAGGAACGTTTGAATTCAGGTTTGCCAGTTGTAACTACATGGTTTTCATTTCTGGAGCAACAAATAATCGCCATAAAGATACTCACAGGTTTTTAATGTCAACAGCTCCACGGAAAGCCTTCCTTGGAATAGCGTGGATATGGTTTTCACTCAGATCACTACAGTAAGAGAAGGAAACAAAAGATCAGATTTATTAGTGTCTCATCCAGCAATTGCTGAAGTCTGACAACACAACACTTGAGCATATACAGGAGGCAATGCAATGCAGTTAAAACACTTTAGACTCTTCACTTTCTTCCCGGACTTCTTTATTTGCACCGCATCAATAACAGCACGGCCTTACTCTCGCTAAATATGCGCATGTTTCTGCAGTCCTGTCGCAAAACATGAAATTTATTATATTGGCATGTACATGGATCATCTGGCCCAAAAGGAAAAGACTGAGAAATGGCAGTGCGAGCCTTTAGCACCTTTGCAAAATAATAGTAAGCTACAAGTTTGCATTTGTGATTTTATTACGTGGAACACTCATATTTATGATTTGCCGCAGTAAAAGTCTGGTTTGCTGTGCAGTTTTGCTGCGATGAACGTATAGAGGGAGATGGGACCTCTATGCTCTTATTCAATTTTCAATGCACTTTAAGTAATCTGTAAAATGGAATATGACTGCAGTGGCCCCGACAATAAATCCAACACCATCAAATGAAATAAGACCCAGTCATTGTTACAATAGCTCAAGGTAAAAGGATTTAACCCTTTTCACGCTGAAGCATGGTCACAGGGACAAAATGTTTTTACAGGATCCACGCTTCCGTTCAACAAAGGAAATGAATCCAATCCCTATTTCTGATAAAGCTTTTCATTTCATGTCTGTCAACATGCCTTTATGTTACACAATTCACATAAAAGATTGTCACAAAGCAATTGAGTAGGTTTAGAAGCAAATTCACTTCATGTGAATATGACACTTTGCTCTGAAGCACAAAATATCTAGTGTAACCTTCATGCTATACTTGCAACAAAAGGTAGCATGTGTTTTGTTCTAACTCCTGACTCCTCTCTCCACCCCCACCCCTCTCCCCCCGCCCTGCCCTCGTCCCCCCGTCCCCCCATATATATGTTCACTTGAAGGCACAGGCGCCTGGTGGTGTACTTCTCTACAAGTGCTGGTCACCCTCTGGTACCTATCTCAGCCAAATGCCATTCTTCATTTGGATGTCTACACAAGTAGTCTCGGCCGACTGGGTGACTGTGGAGGCATTTCAGCCAAGCCTAATCCTGTTCTAACTTGACATCCATACTCATGCACTTTCTGGCAGGGATCACTGATGGTGATCAGCAGTGGGAACGCTTGCTGATTTTCTTCCTCTTGGAACCAAGGCTGATAGTAGCACTCCACTGCTGGCTGAAATCATCTAACTCAGCACAGACTGGGCATTAAACCCACCTGGTTGGCTCGATACCACAGCATATTTGCCCACTGGTTATTGTGGTGGGACAAAGAAATCTTTGATTGAATGAGGCCAATGCTAATAATGACAGTCAAGGCTCAGTGCATTCCTATAGTAGTGTACAGTTAATTTGCCCCAAACTTCAGTATACTGGAACACCTTCAATGGGTTAGCTAAAAGAGATCAGTGTTATGTTTGTTGATATAATACAATGCATATATATTCAGTAGAGTTGCCTCTGAAGGTCTATGGAGTCTGGCCATGTGAATTTTAACGAAAACATTCTCAAATGCCAAGATCCATAAATTTATCAAGTCATGGAGTAATGCATAAGTGAAGTCCTGTAACTCAGTGGTTAGAGCACTCACCTTGCAACCAAGACACCTGGGTTCAATTCCAGGTAGGGCGAAAACTTGGGCAAGTTTCCTTATTCCACACGCCTAATAATAATCCCTCAAAAAAAATTGGTCATTTTCAATCTGCGACTGTTTGTGGGACGCTGCTGTGCACAATTGGCTGCCAGGTTTCGCCCACAAATATACGGTCAATTCACTTTACAGTCTATTCTGTGAAGTGCTTTGAGACGTTGAGAAGACGTGAAAAGCGCAATATCAAATGCAAGGATTATTATTATTATCCCCCACTACCTTACACCTAAAGTGCAGTACAACACGGTCTACACTGGCTACACAGGAAGAAGCCACTGACAGAACGGTACTGTCAAAAGGCAGCTTTATATTCAGGCAATGTGAAGAGATGACGATTGCCTGGTTACATGGAGCGTCTTGGGTTCCCAAAAAGATTGGACTTTGCTATTTGTACAATGGCAACAAGTGTTTGGAATGTGACTCCAGTACAGAATCGAGTGTCCTGTTGGAATTATGACTCCAGACTGGACCTCTCTCATTGTTCTGCTGAATGACAGACCTGCCTGAGAGGCACCAGCCCCATTCTTTGAACTCTCATTATGAATTCTGCCTAATCATTAAAAATCCAATGAGTGTCCTGTTTGATTGACCTTTCAGGCAATGCCTTCCAAACAAGCATCACACAAGTATTTGGAGAGACACTGGCTGGTTTCTCTGACATTTTCTATTGTTTCATCATTCGAGCTATGGGGAAGTCCAATGAAGTCTGGTCACTGGTTTGCATTCAGTTTCCTTATTTGGTCTGTGCCAAGTGAATCTCAAATAAACTTAAGTGTCTTTTTTCCATGCATATCATTTTGCATTCATGAAACAAACACTGAAGTTATTTTCCAGTATCCTAAGTGAATGTCATCCTATTGCCAATAAATTATTACTACTTTTCCATTACTACTGTTGACTGCAATAACAAGGCTTTGCATTCAGTAGGTCACTAAAGCACTAGATATAATTAAGGTATGGCAGCTTCAGAGAATTCGGAACATATATGGTTCCATTCTGTAAAGCACAGGTGTTTTTGCAGCTGAGGAAAAACAATAGCTAAATGTAATGTAGTTTTAGCGTTGTATCCAATTCACTATAACCAGTTTTTGCATGCTCCCTTTCAACATAAAATGCCTACGATCACCTTCCCTTCCCCTTTCTCCCCATCACTGTGCAATGCTCCAAGATGCTCCCCTTTGTTCCCTTGTTAAGTATCTACCTTGTACTTGTTATCAGAGAAATTGTGGGTTGCTGCAGCAGTGATGGCTGGGTCATGGCTGCCTTGCTCCTCCTTAGGCAAACACCACGTGACTCAGGGGCTCTGCGCTTGTTAATATGATCATCATGCACAGACATTGCATTCTAACAAGGGAGTCTCTCCTAACTGTGAAAGCATTTGGAGGCAGCTCCAGTCCTAAGGGAGTGCGCTCCCATACCATTCCGTCAATTAACATTTTATTCCTGCCTTTTAAAAATCTGCCTTTTCACAAGGTGACTCTTCTTTACACCATGCCCCAGCGCCTTGGGACATCCTCCCGACATGAAAGACACTATATAAATCCAATTTATTGTTGATGCTGCATTCATAGACCAGATCAAGAATCTTAAGAAATCATTTTTGATATCACAACACATTTTAGATCCTCTCTCACATGTTCTTTGAGGGCTATACAAAAGGAAGTGTGTTATCGGGAAGGATTTGAGAATATTTCTCCAGCAGAGAGGCAGTCATTAACAATAAGCTAGATCAAAGGATGTGCTACTGTACGTGGCAAAGCAGTGAAGTGCTAACACGCTGTATTGGAACAGAATTGATCGAAATGTGCAGAGTTGCCTTGTGGCTTCTCTATACCCTATCTTGAGTGCAGGTAATAGAAAAGCAATCCCTGAAATTATAGATTTTCAAGAAGAATCTTATTGTGTTCTTGTCAGTTCAACCCTCCGGGAATGGAGATTCTCACAATACTTGCATCGAGTATCACTGAGGATGCATAGGCTACCAACACTGCCTCATTGTCCTTTGAACTCGGTAGTAATAAATCTTGTGTAGATGGCACCCTGCTTATAAATTTAATTACTGGTAATTTTATTTTCCTCCAAGGCAACGCTCCCTGAACTCAGAATGACGCAACTATAAATCTCCGCTGCTATCGACCCTTTTCATAAATACCTTTACTAAGCTAAGCTCCTCAAAATAAATGGTAAAGGCGTCTACAGCAAAATAATAAGGGGTTCTGAAATTGGTGCACAGATAGCACAGTGGGAAAGGGAGCATTGGCCAAATGCTCAGCTAGCTACTCAAGGGAAGATGCCAATTTAGAACAATTGTGGACTCAAACAGCCTTAGTGTAACACTCCTACTTTGCGGCAAAGAGATAAATCGGATGGGATAAAGATATTTCCATACGGTAACCTCTACTCTGCTTTTCCTAATCAACACTGTTTCAATGTAGCTATTCTAATTAATCTGGAAAATATTAATATAAATAATGCCCTATTGATTACTGGGAGGCTGAGAGCATCCTCGAGCGAGTCGTATGTTAGATCAGGCCAGGAATGTGACCTGCAAGACAACTGCTGCCCAAAGCTCTTCTTTCTCAAGGCAGATGCTGCCTTGGATGACTTGACTTGCAGTATAAAGCAATCACCTGGTTGCTGCAATCTGTGCTTTGAGAAAGTCACTTAACAGTGAGTGAGCTGAGGGTAACAGGGTAAGATTTAAGGACCAACTGAAAGTTTAGCCTTTGTGACTACAGCACTGTAACCTGACAGTGCTGATGAGCAAGCCAGTTTCAAGTGCTTACATTGAGGATTAACACTAGAGGAAACTATATTTGTTTTTACACAGATGGCAGTTAGTGTGGAATGTTTGCCCCAAAAGTCTGTTAAAGTCCATATCAACATATAAAAGGGAATTGGATGGGATCAGAGCACATATTTCCAGGACAGACACAATTGCTGAATGTGATGTAAACTTTCTATGATTCTATAGCACTACATAGCTTGTAATAACAATTCTTGCATTTCATATTGTGTTTATGATGTTGATAGCTCATCTAGATCAAAGCACTTCACAAGTTTCTGTAAAGTGTACTGATGTATAGTTGTAGGAAAATGCAACAGGTAGTTTGTGCTCAGCAATGTTATAAAAAAAATCTGTGCATTTGATATAGTGCCTTATCATGTCATTGAAATGTCTCAAAGCGCTTCACAGAATAAACTGTAAAGTGAATTGACTGTGCATTTCGTGGGCGAATGTTCACAGTAATGAAGTGAACGTACAATTTTATCTGGAGA